AAAGGACAAATGTGGTTATATTTATAAATAAAAATAGCCATTTACTGAAAAGTATTTTATTTCCTCTAATGGCTAATTCTTTCATTCTGTTATTCTTTTTAAAAGTTTGCCATCGATGCCCTGGCCGGTTTGGCTCAGCAGTTGGAGCGTCGGCCTGTGGTCCAGAGAGACCCAGGTTTGGTTCCCGCTAAGGGCACGTACCTCCGTACCTCGGTTGCAGTTTGTCCCCGGCCCTGGTTGGGTCGTGCGGGAGGCAGCCACTCGATGTGTCCCTTTACGTTGATGTTTTTTTCTCTCTCTCTCTTCCCACTCTATCTGAACAAAAAATGGACAAATGTCCTTGGGTGAGGATTACAAAAAAAAAAAAAAATTGCCATTGAAGGGTAGCTTTAGGACTTTCATTCAAAGAGTCTTTTGTTTTTATACTGGTATTTAAAAAAGAAATGAGAACGCTATAGAGAACGCTGACCTCTCAAGAATTTTTGTGTGGGGAATTACTAAGGCATGAAAGTCCATAAACCATTTCTCTCCATTTTATTTTCTATGTATTTCCAACAAACTGTACTCATGGTTAGTAAAAGTTAGCACAATTCTTTATACCAGGCCAAATTCCATTCTCATACTCTTAGGACATAATGAAGTCTAAATTCAACCCTAAATTGAGTGTATTTTAATAAAGTTTAGTCTATTTGTGGCTCAGTTTACCTCAAAACAGTCTTTGAGGATAATAAATTTTGTAATCAATTCTATAATGTGTATTTTAGTTCTAAGAAATAACATGAATAGATTTATTCTGATTATAACAGTAATGTATCTGAATGATGTTGACATATCAATAAACCTTTCTTCATTAGAATATAATTATGTGCTATTTTATCAAGTAATCATTTGGAGAAAAGAACTTTCTTAGAAACTTAAAATTCTGGCATTTTAACACAGAAATAGCTTGGAAACGAGTTTGTTTAAAAATAGCAATTAAGCCCTAGCCGGTTTGGCTCAGCGGTTAGAGCATCGGCCTGTGGTTCTGAGAGACCTGGGTTCGGTTCCCACTACGGGCACGTACCTCGGTTGCAGTTTGTCCCCGGCCCTGGTTGGGTCGTGCGGGTGGCAGCCACTTGATGTGTCCCTTTCACGTCGATGTTTCTCTCTCTCTCTCCCTCCCACTCTATCTGAACAAAAAATGGAAAAATGTCCTCTGGTGAGGATAAAAAAAAAATAGCAATTGAAAAGTGGAAAGAAGAGACTTGAACGGACAAGAATGATACTTTTCTTTCTTCATTAACTTCCTGTGCTGAGTCAGAAATTTTTTCTTTCCTTGGCTTTTTAGAACTATGATGCTTTGGTCTACTCTGAATCTTTGTCTTTTTGTTCACTGTTGTTTCCAAGGGCCTGGAATAATTCTTGACTCATAGTAGGTCGCAAGTATTTGTTGAATGAGAGAATAAAGGGGGTCCTATCTGCTCTGGACATTTCTAGTGTGCATCCTGCTTTTTTACTTACTACATACATTGTGAGGGTTAGCATTATCCACTAGCGATGGCCTCATGTACTAGACTCTGTATTATAGTATGCTATTATTTATAGCTTTTGTGCTGGTGAGAAGGAAAGATCTTATAGGCTGAGAAAACGGTGTATTTCAAAAAGGCAGTTCTGTAGAGACAGAGAGTAGATTAGTGGTTGCCTGGAGCTGGGGTTAGAGGTGAGAACAGAGAATGACTGCAAATGGACAAGAGGGACCTTTTGTGGGTGAAGGAAATGTTCTAAAATTGGGTTGTGGTGATTGCTGTACAGCTTGGTAAATTCAAGTTCATGAATTTTATGGTATGTAAGCTATATCTCAGTAAAACTGTATAAAGAATAAAGCCAGGTTGAGTTTTAAAAAATTTCCAATTATTTGCTAAACAGAAAACTAGGATGATATAATTCTCTTATTTGTTACGTTGGATATAACTTGTTGCTATAGATAAATATCTGATTTTTCTAAAATTGGTTTTTCTGTAAAGCATTTCAGGACAGAGAAATGTTCATTTTATTTTCTAGTGAAGTACTTTTGTGCTAATTGGCTTGGAATTTATAAGGTTTTTAATATAAAACATTTTGTTTCATCTCATTTTCTTATCTTCTTTTTGGATATTTTCAAAGCTATAAAAATGAATAGGTGTAAATTATTCTACTTTGCTGATAGTTTATTTACACTAAATTGCAGGGTTAGAACATGCTATTTATTTCCATCATCTTTTTATTTTTTATTTTTATTTTTGTTTTGTTTTATGAATTTTTATTTATTTTTTTGTTACAGATATTTTAACTTTTTACCCCATTGGCACCCCCCACCCCACCCCACCTCCGCCCCATCCCCGGCTTAGTTGTCCATGTCCATTGGTCATGCATACATGCATATAAGTTCTGTGGTTTATCTCTTCCCACCCCCCCACCCCCCATCCCCTCTTCTGAGGGATGTCAGTCTGTGCCCTACTTCCATGTGTCTGGGTCTACTGTATTCCTCAGACTGTTATGTTCATTATATTCCGTATATAAGTGAGATCATGTGGTATTTTTCTTTTTCTGCTTGGCTTCTTTCACTTAGGATAATACTTTCCAGGTCCCTCCATGTCGTCTCAAAGGATAAGAGATCTTTCTTTCTTACCGCTGCATAGTACTCCATGGTGTATATGTACCACAGCTTTTTTATCCGTTCGTCTACTGGTGGACACTTGGGCTGTTTCCAGATCGTAGCTATTGTAAATAGTGCTGCTATGAACATGGGGGTACATATATTCTTCCTGATTGGTGTTTCAGGCTTCTTAGGGTATATTCCCAGCAGTGGGATCACTGGGTCAAATGGAAGTTCAATTTTTAATTTTTTGAGGTAGCACCATATTGTTTTCCATAGCGGCTGCACCAGTCTGCATTCCCACCAGCAGTGTATTAGAGTCCCCTTTTCTCCACACCCTCGCCAACACTTGTTGTTTGATGATTTGTTGTCCATCATCTTTTTAAAAGATTGGTTTAACTTGATAGCTTTGTTTTCATTTTATGTTATAAAGCAAATTATTTATGGGCCCTCCCATATTATATTATCCTCTTTTTTTTTTTTATTTTTTATTAAGAGATTATTTGTATTTTAAAATTACCTGTTGGAAGAAAAACTTTTTCCATTAAATGGTATTCTTACTTTGATTTTTGTACAGTCTTAAAGATATTCTGTATGTGTCTCCCCCAAGGGAATATAGCTCCTTTAAAAATTAGACTATATTCTGAAAAATTATTTGTAAAAGCTCTCCCATAGTCTAACAAAGACCAAGTAGATTAAAGATGTAAGATTATTGGGATCAGTTAACGCTAACAATATCAGCAGTAACTCTAACAATATCAAGCATTGGCGAGGAGGACTTAGAGACATTTTTTTTTATAAATTTTTATAAGTTTATTTAAGCCAAATTGGCCACATATACTGGGAGCCAGATCTCAAAAGCTTTTAGCAAGATTGTTGTAATTAAAAGGCACTTGGAATTTAAAAATTAGTTGAGGTGACTTGATTTCTCATTAGTTAGATCTTTATGCACTTACTCTGTGGCTTGACACTATTAGATGATGGTAATAGTTGTTGTTACTATTATAATTAATATGTAGTGCTTGCTGAATACCAGACATTGTTACAAGGCTTTTCAGATAGTAGCTCATTGAATTCTCACAGTAACCCTATGAAGTATGGACTATTACCATCCTTATTTAACAGATAAGGAAAATAACTCACACGGAACTCACCCAAGTCACACAGCTCAATAAACCCAGGCAGGCATTGCCAATAACCACTATAATATAATGAAAGGACTGCTCCACCCCCACCCCTTTTTTTCCAAAAGAAAAAATATTTCTTCATCTTGAAAGAATTAAAAAACACTTAGTATAAGAAAATGAGAATTATTACTTCTAGAAGGAGAAATAAGTTCTTCCGATCTTCTTTATTTTTATTTTTTCCCTGTTTCCATTTATTTTGTATTTTTTAAATTTAGTTTATTTTTCCTTTATCGATTTTTAGAGAGAGAGGAAGTGAGGGAGAGAGAAATAGAAACATTAATGAGAGAGAACATCGATTACTGCCTCCTGCATGCCCCTCACTGGGGATCAGGCCCACAACTTGGGCATGTGTCTCTACCGGGAATTGAACTGGCAACCTCTTGGTGCATGGGTCGACACTCAACCACCAAGCCACACCGGCTGGACTATTTTGTACTTTTTAAAATGTTTTTATAGAGACAGGAAGGGAGAGGGAGAAATAGATAGGAATATCAATGAGACAGAAATATTGATCAGCTGCCTCCTGCACACCCCCTACTACTAGCCATAGAGCCTGAAATCTGGGCATGTACATGACCAGGGACAGCGACCTCTCTGTGCATGGGTCAGAGCTTAGTCACTGAGTCATAATAGCTGGGCTGTTATTTTGTATTTTTATGTTATTTACATATTTACATTTTATGTTATTTTTATGAATCAGTGTTAGCAATGGTCTGATTACTAATGCTTTTTCATATAATGCTAGGCTGATAGTTCAAACAGTATTATTTGAATTTAGTCACAAAATATTATATATGTGTCTGACAGTTGAGTCAGTTGTCTGGATTGGTTGAACACTTCTGTGGGAGATCTGTAAGCTTTATCTGCAGCTTAAATGATAAGTGTGAATGCACTTCACATTTCTGCGTACAATTTGAGAAACCTGTCATGTGAACTGTAATTTCATAGGATGCTTATGGTTATTGATTAATTGATATATGTATCAATGTAAATAAGCAAAGATATTTTAATAAATTGATTTGTGTTGAATTAAGCTCATGGTTTTATAATTTATAATTGATTTAAAAAGGTAAACATTCTATTATGAATATTATGCAAGTTATCTCTCATAGGGTGGATATGTTTTTGAGGAAAAGTTAAGGTATTGTTTTTTCTTTAATCATTCATTCCCCTTCCTTTGTTTTTATTTTATTTTGTAGGATTTTGGCTCCCAACAGTAATTATCAAGATGTTGAGACCCTCTATAACTTCCTAATCAAACATGAGGTATGAACAATATTTTTAAATGTTTATCATATTTCTACCATAAACAAATTTTAATATAGATTAACATTGTAGAGGTCTAAAATTCAATGGAATGCTATTTAATTGATATTTACCTTAAATTCTCAAGTGCCATAATTTGATTTTTTTTTGTTCTCTAAGTAAAAACATACAGTAGGATCCTATAATAATACACTTTCTATAACACAGAATTGTTTGTCATCGGGTGCTGTTGGCATTTTCGACAGGTTTTACTTCATTGTGTGGAAGGTTGCATGTTGTTTACCATTCCTGCTCCTCAGATACTATATGCCAGTGTTTTCCCTAGTCATTGTGACGACCCAAAACACCCTACCACTCCACCCAGCTCACCTCCCCAAATGGCCCCTGAGCAGGAAGACCACCAATCTGGTTGTGAACCACTGATTACTGCAAAGAAGAGCTATCATTTCATTTTCTCTACTGCAGCAGCAAAAAGACCCCGACTGAGAGCTGTGGTGAGGCTCCAGCATATTTTGTAAATTAACGTTCATACTTTCCTCATCCTGGCTGATCCAAGGAAAGTGTTCAGTTGGTCTTCAGTTTCTTTTGCCTAAAGCTCTTTGCACATGTTCTCGTATATTCTTTCCTTTCAAGTGTGTGTCTGTTTAATTTTTTAAATGCTCTCCTTGAAGGAATATGACATATATTCAGGTCTCACATTTGTTATGGAGTCAAACTCCTTTAAATATATTGTTTTTTTGTTCTTGATTAACTCTTTATTTAGCTATTTGTATTCAGCATCTGACATTAAGAACCTAGGGACTAAGTGTTCAGGGTTGGTTCTGCCACCTATTACCTGAATGCTCTTTGAAGAGTTAATTTTCTTTGTCTCAGTTTCTTCATATGTAAAATGGGATTAACATCAGTAAATAAATTACAGCATTCTTTCAAACTAAATAACTTAATATACCTGTATAAAGTGCTCCAGACAGTACCAGACACAGTAGGTGTTCGGTGTTACAGTGTTTATGTGTGCTTTCTAAAAATCAGCCTTGCCCGGCTGGTGTGGCTCAGTGAATTGAACATTATCCCATGGACTGAGAGGTCCCAGTTTGATTCCAAGTCAGGGCGCATGCCTGGGTTCTGAGCTTGATCCCCAGTAGTGGGGGGTGCAGGAGGCAGCTGATCGATGTTTCACTCTCACATCGATGTTTCTATTCTCTCCCTTCTTCTGTCTCTAAAAAAATCAATAAAAACAGTTTTTAAAAATTAAAAAACAATCAGCCTTAATATTACATAACCATATCATGTGATTAGGATGATTTCCTCATTTGACATGATTTGTATCATTATTTTATAATACTTTTTGAATTTCAAATTGAGTCAGTAATTCTAACAATAAAAATATATTTGTGAAAATATGATAATTTTAAAAATCACTTATCCTGGAAAAATCTGGGACATAGATCTTTTTAGTGCTTCCTATTGCTGAAAGTATTGGGATAAAATACTTAACATTAGTTATAAGAATATGTGGAATTGATTTCCAGATTTTTTAAAGTCATTTCTCTTAGCAGAACTTCCTTTCCTATACCAATTACTGCATTGGAGATATTTGTTTCATGTCATAAACAATGATAGGACCATATAAAGTTCTTAGGATATTTGGCTATTTTTATACTTAATCTTTGCCTTTTGTTCTTGAATTTTTAAGAATAAGATAGCCATTTCTAATATTTGGCATTCATTGTAAATAGTACAAGAGTTAATAACACCAATTCCACAATCCATATTATATTCATAATTCTGATAATGTTTGTTGACAAAGGCATCTTTTAACTCTTTGTTCCCTGGGAATTAAAATGGTGCACGTGAGCATAGAAATGATATTTAGCAATGTAACTTAAAATGTCCTTATGTGAGTAATTTAAAATGTTGTGAATCAAAATTAATGAATATGATGAAACAAGATATTTCAGGCTACAATCTGTAATATAGGTCATGAATTTGCATTTCAGTTTTCCTTTTTAGTAGGAAATTAGCTGCCTTTTTGTAAGTCACTTCTGACCTGGATCCACATCACCCTTTCACCCCAGCTATATTCTGGGATAAATGTTCAGATGTATGTGGGTGATCACTTTTAAAACTGGAGTCATCAAGATGCTCATTTCTCTCAAAATACTAAAGGTTTAAGGAACTATTCATATTGTATCAGGTTCAAAATCAGTCTTCTTATTGTTGTTGATAAAAATCAGCTGGTTTTTATCAACAGTTGTTGGAGAACAAGTGATTCCCTTCATCCTCTGATCAAACATCTGCAATGTTTTTGACATTTGCTTGCCTAAGTTTGGATATAGTGTAGGTTCTGGTATGTTGGGCAGTAGTGAAAATATCAGAGGCCCTGAGACCAGAGCAGAACATGTAAAGAAATAGGAATTGGACCGGTTGATAGTTTAAATACATGTTTTAGGACATTTTTAGAAGATACTTTAAAAAATTGTAAAGTACCTAAAAAGTTAATTATGATACATTATATATCAATTTAATACATTCATTATAAGTATGTTAGGTATTATATATAATTAAATAACCAATTTTAAGCTAAAATTTAGGTTCTATACATTTAAAATGTTATATTTAAAAACTATATATTTTTAACTTTCAGTGAATAAAATATTTCTACATAAATATGGTTAATTTGTTATGAAAATACTGAAGAAGGTCATAGAACTTTTGCAAATAAGCAGTACCCTTAACTCTAGAAGACTCTCATGATGTGAATCTTTAAAACAGTGTTAATTAAATCAGAGTGGGAACATTTTTTTCATCAAAGAATGCATACCAGTTAATAATACTTTAAATAAATTGAATAGAAGATAGTCTTAGTTAGTTTCCCTTCCACTAATTAAAAATTTCTTAAAATTTAGGTACTGGACTATTTGTTGAATTATCTGATAAAGAGAATTTTTCTCACAAATTTCTAGATTCTTCCCTACTCATAAGTAAACTATAACCTAAATCAGTAGTAAGCCTCAAGAAATACCGAATTGCTTCAGTGTGTATACTGCGTGTGTGCCGTGACTGGCTTTTGTAGGATAAAGGACTTTTAGTATTGTGTATTATGTCTGGATTACAATACATGTTTATGAATTGTGAAACATGTTAGTTTAAATATTTAGACCTCAATAGTCTGAAAAATACATTTCTTTTTTATTTTTAAATCCTCACTCAAGGATATTTTTCCATTTATTTTCAGATAGAGTGAGAGGGAGAGATAGAGAGAAACATCAATGTGAGAGACACACATCTATTGGTTACCTCCTACACAACCCTGGCTAGGGCCAGGGACTGAACCACAACCAAGGTATGTGCCCTTGACCGGAATTGAACCCGTGGCTCCATGGTCCAGGGGGCCGACACTAAGCCAAACTGGCCAGGGCTGAAAAATACATTTCTTTAGAAAATGTCTGTAAATCAAACTTTTTCCTAAACAGAGAGACGTTTCCACATAGTTTATAATAACCTTTGTATTTAAATGAAAGTGAAGGTTATTCAGTAATAACTTTTGGAAGGGTCAGCCATAGTATTAGAATTGAATACTTTTTCTTTCAGCTTGAATCCTTTTCTTTTTTTTTAAAATTTTTTTCTTTATTATTTTTTTTAGAGAGAGGAAGGGAGAGAGAGAGAGAGAGACGGAAACATCGATGAGAGAGAACATCTATTGGCTGCCTCCTGCATGCCCCCCACTGGGGATCGGGCCCACAATCTGGGCGTGTGCCCTGACCGGGAAACAAACTGGCAACTTCTTGGTGCATGGGTTGACGCTCAACCACTGAGCCACACCAGCCAGGCTAAATTTTTTTATTTTTATAATTCATTTACTTTCCCTAGAAAATAAATATTAAAAATCAAATATTTTAGCCTTGGCCGGTTTGTTTCAGTGGTTAGAGCATTGGCCTGTGGACCAGAGAGTCCTGGGTTCGGTTCCCGCTAAGGGCACATACCTCAGTTGCAGTTCGTTCCCACCCCAGTTGGGGTTGTGTGGGTGGCAGGGTGGCAACCAGTCGATCTGTCTCTCTCACATCGATGTTTCTCTCTCTCTCTTCCCCCTCTCTCTGAAGATAAATGCAAAAAAAAAAGAAAGAAATCAAATGTTTTAAGAGGCAAGGCTAACTGAAGCATGTCTCTGTTTCACAGAGTACATTTTTCCGTCCATTTGATCTAAAAAGCGATTGCTTTGTTGCGATTTTCACTAACTCAGGCCCATTTCTCATCTGGTTCTATGAACAGATGAGGTTGAAACAATAAGACTAATATTTTTACACATAGTTCAGTGTGAGCATTATGGTCATTGAACTTCTGATTATTATTCTGTCCTTTCTATGCAAAAACTAGAAACTTGACATTCTGCTCCTTCAGAATATGGGCCACTCTAATTGTGCTCTAACTACTCATTTGATTAATATGCATTTTTAATAACTGTATCTTGGTTCTTTTCAGGTAAATAAAAGTGTCAAATTTACTGCCCAGGAACTTTATGATTGTGTTTCACAGACTGAGTATCGGTAAGTCATATCTATATATAGATACACCGTTGAATAAGCTCTTACTGGTGGTGAAGGGATTTTTAATGTCTCTACTACACTATGACTTTTTTTTTACCTTTATTGGTATGAAATATTTTATACACACAAAAGGGCTGTGTGTATATTTGTATAACAGGTATAAGGTTTAAAGTGGTTCTTAAAATTTTTGGTCTCAAGACTCCTTTATATTTTAAAAAATTATTGAAGCCCTGGCCAGGTAGCTCAGTTGGTTAGAGTGTCATCCTGATGTATGTCAAGGTTCTGGGTTTGATCCTGGGTCAGGGTACATACAAGAATCAACCAGTAACTGCATAAATAAGGGGAACAGCAAATAGCTCGCTCTCTACAATAATAATAAAAAAAAAGTTATTGAAGAAGTCTTCAAAGAGCTGTTGTTTATGTGGCCCATATCTATTTGTATTTACTGTATTTGAAATTAGAATTGATAAATTTAAAGTATTTAGCCCTGGCCAGTTTGGCTCAGCGGTTAGAGCGTCGGCCTGCGGTCTGGAGAGACCCAGGTTCGGTTCCCGCTAAGGGCACGTACTTCGGTTGCAGTTTGTCCCCGGCCCTGGTTGGTCGTGCGGGTGGCAGCCACTCAATGTGTCCCTTCACGTCGATGTTTTTCTCTCTCTCTCTCCCTTCCTCTCTCTCCCTCCCACTCTGTACAAAAAATGGAAAAATATCCTCGGGTGAGGATAAAAAAATAAAAAAATAAAAAAAAATAAAAAAATAAAAAATAAATAAATAAAGTATTTATAAATAACACTAGCTAATTAATTACATGTTAAGATAAGTAATATAGATTATGAAAGAATTTTTCCCAAACAAAAAATACTATGAGAGTGGCATTGTATATTTTTGCAGATTTCTTAATGTCTGGCTTTAATAGAAGAAAACTGAGTTCTCATTGCTGCATTTATTCTGTTTCCATAATCACATCATGTATCACTGGAAAACTACTGGGTCCTCTTGCAAGAGTGAGAATGCAAAAGGCAAACCATGTCTCAGACTCAGTACCAAACGGTCAGGGGTTCAATTCCTGGTCAAGGGCACGTGCCTGGGTTGCATGTTTGATCCCCAGCCCCGTCAGCGTATGTGCGGGAAGCAACCAATAGATGTCTCTCTCTCACATCGGTGTTTTTCTCTCTCTCTTCCTCCCTCCCTTCCTCCCACTCTCTAAAAATCAATGGAAAAAATATCCTCAGGTGAGCATTAACAACAACAAAAATGTGGGTTAATTTTACCTGCTGAGGTATGGAGCGGGTTGGTTTATAATCAGTTCTGTTATAATGTGTGTGTTCCTAACATCACCCCTGCATTATGCAAAATCGTGCAGTGAAAACCTCAGGGCTCATGAGAAAAGATGGGGCTGGTGCATATCACTCAAAAAGTTAATAAAGGACGCATTGAAAAATCAAAATGGTATCACAGATTTCCACATGTTCAGTGGTTAGGAAATACATAAACACCATAATAAAATTGACACCTTACCTTGAAGAGAGGTCAGATTGCTTGTGCAAGTGGTCATTGGAAGGGCTGCAGCTTGTCAGTTAGTGTGATGTGCTTGGGGAAGGGTTATCTGAAATTGGATGCAAAATTGCAGCACCAAATGTGAGTGGATGTGGCCCATAACACAGGAAAGGTAGCTGGTACATGTTTGAGTGTGCATGAGTGTGTTTTGTGTATTCCTAAGCAGCTTGGGTCAGCTGGGTGCAGTTTTCTCTATTCATCTAGAATATCTCACTGCTGAAATTGTGTGTAGGAAAGTGTAAAGTTTGCATTTTGTGCTCAGATTGTTTTTTATACTATATCAATGGTGTCGGAACAAATCTGTGTGTTCGGAATAAGCACTGTAGCAGAGCTGACTGCATTTTCATTTTCACTACTATGTAATATGCCACTGCATCACTAAGTCACTGTTTATTTGCCATTTATAATGTGCAGATATACCTGTGTGGCTACGAAATTTTATGTGCAGGCTCAGTGACTAAGTTAACTATCAGGATACTTCTGTTAAACTCTTAATTGATAAATTTATTTGATGATTGAGACACTAGGATTGATAATCATACACATGTTATTAAGCAGCACAGCTATGAAAGTTCACTCATTAGATTCAAATAAATTTTCCAAGAAAACCTGAAGCCAATGGGTATGTGTAATGGTATAGTTGAGGGTACAAATGATGTTTTACTGTAATCTTCAGACTCTCAATTAGTTATACTCTTACTTATAGATCTTTACAGCCAATTTACCTTTAAATGTCGTGTACATGACATTTGTGTCAAAAATATAATGTCTATTAAACTTAGCCATATTTTTGAAGGTATAGGAAGCCCACTAACTGTAGGTAACTCGGAGGGCAGAGTCCCTTACATGATGGTTCGATCAGATGTCTAAAATTATTTTAATTTCACCTTACTGTTGGAATAGTTGAACAACTTTTTTCAGAGGGGGAGTGGGAGGTGGGAAGGGTACAAGGGTCAAAGTTGAATGTTAACGTTAAAGCACTTGTTACCTGTTTTTCTCTTCTGTTTTCTACTTTCAGTACCGGGGATTTGAACTATGGTATTAATAAGCTCCCTCTCATACTCAAAAGGATGATGTTGAAATCAAATATATCTAATATCTTGAAGGCATTGAAAAATGGCAATTGCTGTTCCGGCTTTTGATTAATAGCTTTTAGAGTTCTTACTCTGCTGTTTGTTTTGAAATTATTTGCCCTATTTACAGTGAATGTTGTCTCCCGTATGGCCCTCTGTGTAGTCCATAGCTTGCAGTTTTCAAATAAGCTGCCAAGAGATGTTCTCTTGGTGTCACTGGTTCATATTAGACACTGGTCAGATGCAGTAGATGTAAGGTGGCCAAGTTTTCCTGTGTCTCGGAGGTGAAAACAGAGTGATTTAACTTGCATATAGCTGGCCACCTTTGGGGATGTTAAGAAAAGCAATGACCTAAAATGTCTGAATTTCCTGTTTTTTTGTTTTTTAATATAACGGGTCATTTGTGAGAAAGGAGACTTGATATGCCCAACAGCATATTTACTGCAGCAGGGATGTAATTAAGTAGCTGAAGAACATAAAACTATTTTATAGATTCTGATATAGCAAGGAATTGAGGTTTCAGATTGAAAGTAGCTTTGATCCAAAGTTGAATTTCATGAACCTGGAGAAATCTGTGTTCACTATAAACCAGTTAGTGTGTCTGTTTTCTGTAATCTGTAGACTCTTTGACGTAGCTTTTGCTCCTGCCAGTGGGGTCTGTGCACTGTTGACCCTGAGCAGATAAGGAGTTTGCTCAGAAAATTCAGGATGGTAAATAAGTGATATTATCAAACAGATGACCAAATTTATATCTTGTGTAGTATCTTTTGTATGTATGAGAAAGAAGTCAGGAGTAGTATTTAATTCACTTAGTTTGCCCTGTAATTTCTTGACAAACTATTCTGGCATGTTTGTGAGGCAAGTCCCTAAGGTCACTCTTTCTAGATGAAATGCAAACTAGTTTGTGACATCAGCCTCTTAAAGCACCTGGCATATCCGAACAACATGTATACCAGAAGCTTTCTTTTTTTTTTTTTTTTTATCCTCACCCGAGGACATTTTTTCTATTTTTTGTTCAGATAGAGTGTGGGAGGGAGAGAGAGAGAGAGAGAAACATTGATGTGAAAGGAACACCTCGAGTGGCTGCCACCCACACGACCCAACCAGGGCCGGGGACAAACTGCAACTGAGGTACGTGCCCTTAGCGGGAACCGAACCCGGGTCTCTCAGGACCGCAGGCCGATGCTCTAACCGCTGAGCCAAACCGGCCAGGGCCAGAAGCTTTCTTTTGCTGTGGCAAGTGCTTTCAGGAATGACTGTTTTCCGACTCCAGGGATCAGCTCCATCAGCTCCCTGGTAGTGTCTCAGATTGCCTTAGAGCTGTGGTTCTCTGAGCTGTGGTTCCAGGACCTGAGTGTCAGCATCACCTGGGCACTTGCAGGAAACACACGTTCTACGGCTCCACCCCAGACCTTCTGAGTCAGAAACTCGGGGGATGGAGCCCAGCCACCTGTTTGCCAGTACCTCCAGGGCATGCGCAAGTTGGGGGACACCTGGGTTAAATTAATGACCTGATCTATCCAAGAAACCTTAGACAGAAAAAGCCTTAGAGGAAAAGTAATCTAGAAATCAAATTTAGACCTTTGATGTTTATTTTAATTAGAAAAGCATTACATTATTTTTTGTTTATAGATGCAGTAATACTTTGCAGCAAATTTGACTTCATTATTTGTGACAGAAGATGTTATAAAAGTATAGACTTTTTTTCTTTTTCTAATCGAGGTAAAATTCACATAACAAAATTAACAGTGAACCAATTTGAAGTGTACTTTTCAGTGGCATTGAGAGCATCCATTCTGTTGTGCAACCGTCACCTCGGTCTAGTTCCAAGACATTTCCAATCACCCTGGTTGGAAGTTCCACACCCATTGAGCAGTCATTCTCTGTTCTCCCCTCCTGGCCCCAGATTCTGGCAACCACGAATCTGCTTCTGTCTCTATGCATTTATTCATGCTGGGTGTTTCTTGTAAGTTGAATCATGTAACATATGACCTTATGTATCTGGTTTTCTTCACTTAGCATGATGTTTTTGAGGTTCATCTCATTGTAATATATACCACTACTTCATTCCTTTTAAAGGCTGAATAGTGTTCCATTGTATGTGTATGCCACATTTGTTTATCCACTCATCTGTTGTTGAACATTTGGGTTTTTTCCACTTCGGGGCTAGTGTGAATAGTGTTGCCTTTGGTTTACAAGTATTTGTTTGAATCCTTTCTTTACATGTTGGGGTTGGGGGGCATATACCTAAAGTAGAATACCTGGTCATGGTCATTCTGTTTAACTCTCTGAGGAAATGTTTTCCACAGCAGCTTGCACTGTTACCTTCCCACCAGCAATATACAAGGTTCTGATTTCTCTATAGCCTCACCA